CACCACCACCAGCATCACCACCGCCAGCATCACCACCATCATCACCACCACCAGCATCACCACCACCAGCATCACCATCATCACCACCACCATCACCACCACCACCACTACCATCACCACCACCCTCACCAAACAGCCACTCTTTGGCCATCCCAGCAGTGAGATTGCAGGTAGTGAAACAGCAAAGTCCACAGTCCTTAGTATGTGAAGTGTAGTCTAGAAATGGAGGATGGGAGGAGGGTATAGGCTTTCGGTTGGCATGTCCCCCAGGCCCTGTGGACTCCTAGCCCCCTGGCTGGTAGACGGACAGAATGGGGCTGCCTCAAGAGCAAACGTCCCTTCCTCCGAGAGGCATCCCCAACCACACAATCTTTCCCTCCACCCGCCTCCCTCACTTGCTCATCTTCCCATCACTGAGGTTTACTGTCTTTGGAACCTGTACCACTACCTGTAATTGTCTCTTATCTGCTGACTTTTTGCTGTCTGTCTTCCCCTGACTGGAAGGTAAACTGCATGAGGGCAGAGGCATTGCTCGTCTTGTTCACCGTGGGCGTATGTCTTAGGGGTGACCATCGACACAGAGATCTACCTCATCCATCTATTGCTGTGTAGTGACACTTAATATGGACACTCCACAGTTTCCTTAACAGAAACAAACATTCTTATACATGCTTCCTTACGCACATGGGCATGAGGTAGATACTGACAATTTCTTGGACATAGGCTATACATATTTTGAATTTTAAATTTAATAGATATTGACAAATTTCCCTGAAGTGGATTCCTCTTCCACATGAGGTATACGAGAATATATCCATTTCCACACATTGATGTTATCATGTTTTACCCAATTTTTGGCCATCCTACATGTGAAGGATTACTATAATTCGTTGTTATAATTCGCATTTTCCTGATTATTATGAAAGTCAAATATTAGTTTCTTTATCTTACATGTATTAAATAGTTAGCATGGTTGTCTTGTATTACTATTTTTTGTGTATAAATCGGTCTCTTCCATTACACAAGGAGTTCCAAAAGGGCAGAGATCTCTTCTGTATCACCTAGAAGAGAACATAATAAATGCTCAACAAATACTATCGATTTGTTGAATGAAGACTGCAACACTGCGAGAAGAAATGTATCAATAAGAAGTACGTCAGTGAGCAAATGCCTGTCTGTCTTCTGGAGGATCCTCATTTGGTTTCCTTCCTGTGGCTTTAAGTAGGTGGCCCCAGAGAGACTTACCATCATACACAGGATAGTCTAGGAAATCATCTCCCTCCTCCTCTTTAGGCTGATCTCCACCTTCTAATTCCCCAGGCTCCTCATCCAGTTTCTCACTCTCTGACCGGTAGATGATAATAGATTCTGGGCGGGACTCTTTCTTCTTTTTCCTGCGACCCAGTGTGGATTCCCCATCAAGGGCCAGGGCAGCTGCCATGGCTTTCCTCAGAGAGCCCTGGTGGGGGCTTGGGAGCTGGCCCTGGCCTTCCACTGGTGCTGGCTCTTCCATCCTAGTCTTCAAATCTAGCTATTCCTTGTAAAGAGTCCAATTTGCTTGAGCAAACTCACGATCCACACATCACAGAGCTTCTTCCAGGATGGGGCTATGCAAAGACGTTCCAACGATGAGTTGCACTTGAAAGATAAGAAAGCAAAATCATCAACAGGGAATGAATAGGGTGAGATGGAGAGGGGTTTAGGAAGTGGTCCTCAACTTGGCAGAAGCCTTTGCCCCCCTTTATTTCTCATAAAAGTTTATTTTGGGAGTGCTATGGAAATACTTTTACAGGAATGAATCATTGTTAATAAAATATTATTTGTGTTGCCATATTTTGTGTTGCATATATTATGCAAAACTCATCAATCTAGCTGGGGGATGCCAAGTATAAGGAAGTTGGGTGAGGAAGCCTTACAGACAGATTAAGGACCATTCTTCCTCTCACCATAGATGGAGATTGCTATGGCTGGCACCAGCACTCCAGGCTTCTGGCTATTGGGTCAGCCATTACAACTATACTCAAATGGTTGAATGCAACTTTGAACAAGCCATCCAACAATGGCACAACTTCACTAACCATGCCTTCTCTGATATTCTATAAAGACACTTGTCTCCTGGCTTCTTGTTGGCCCAAGATCCCAGAATGGCTGGGATCTGTACTATCACCTTCTGGGAGACCAGTGGAAAGAATGCACACTTTTCACGCAACACTTTTCTCCTCTTTTGCTCTCCAGGTAAAAAGAGGTGGGAGAGAAGAGAGTCTATACAATATCTTTTAAGGAAGAAACTGATCGGTCTGTGTTTTTGGTATATGGAGCCATTAAGAGGAACGGAATGTTTTGAGTGCTATTGCTAAAGAGGTGCCACTTAGCAAATACCCAGCCAGTGGCATTTAAACAGGTAGCTGCGGGACTTCCCTGGTGGTGTAGTGGTTAAGAATCTGCCTGCCAGTGCAGGGGACGTGGGTTTGATTCCTGGTCTGGGAAGATCCCACACGCCACAGAGCAACTAAGCCCGTGCACCACAACTACTGAAGCCTGTGAGCCTAGATCCCTCGAGCCATAACTACTGAGTCTGCTGCCACAACTACTGAAGCCTGTGCACCTAGAGCCTGTGCTCCACAACATGAGAAGCCACCGCAATGAGAAGCCTACGCACTGCAGCAAAGAGTAGCCCCCACTCGCCGCAACTAGTGAAAGCCCACGCATAGCAACGAAGATCCAACACAGCCAAAAAAACAGGTAGCTGCTTGTCTGCTTCTTTTATAAAAATGTTATTATATTATGGAACGTTTCAAACATGTAAAATGAGAACATTTTTATTAGGGAAAGTGGCAAACATTTATAAAAGCAAAGAGAATAATTTGAATGAATCGTTACTGTACCTCTCACCCAATTTCAACAATAATCAAAATATTAGTAGCCAATTTTGTTTTATCTCCTCATATTATTTAAAAGCAAATGTCAGATATCATTTCATTTCATCTGTATCTCTTTCAGCATGTACCTCTTACATATAAGAACTCTCTTTTTAAAAAAAGATTATCACCATACCATTATCGCACCTAATTATTTAAACGATTCTTTAATAACATTAAATATCTGGTCAGTTCAAATTTCCCTGTTTAAAACTTTAAATTCTATTTTCTTGAATTAGGATTCAAATAAGATCTATGCAATGGAAACAGATTGCACACCTCTGTCTATAGCAGCGCTGTCCAATAGAACTTTCTGCCATTGCACCTGAAATGAGTCTAGTGCAACTGAGGAAATGATTTTTATTTTTATTATTATTATTTTTTTGGACACGCTGAGCAGCTTGTGGGATCTCAGTTCCCCGACCAGGGATTGAACCTGGGCCCTCGGCAGTGAAAGTGTGGAGTCCTAACCACTGGACCTCCAGGGAATTCCCCAGGAAATGCATCTTAAATTTTATTGAATTCTAACCAATTTAAATTTAAATAGCCACATGTGGCTACTGGCTACTATATTGGACGGAACAGGTCCATATGTTCCCCAACCAATTTTTTTTTTTCCTTTTCCTTTCTATTTATTTGTTAAAGAAAGGTCATTTACCTTGCAGATTCTCATAGCCTAGATCTTGAGGATTGCAACCCCCATAGTATGTTCCTCCACATATTTCCTATAAATTGATAGCTACATAAAGAGGCTTACTCAGATTTGGGTTAGAATTATTTTGGTTGGTTGGTTGTTTTGGCAAGATGTTATAGATGGTGTTTTGTATTTCCATCAGAAGGTAGCTAATATCTGCTTGACTCCGTGAAACTAGTAGCCATTGACGACTATCAGCCAGACCCATTCGTTCATTAGGTGTTACAAAAATGATGACATTCTATTTCTCTCATTCCTTCTTTATTTATTAGCCAGAATACTCTCATGGGCCTTTTTAAAAAGAAAAATTATTTATTTATGGCTGTGTTGGGTCTTCGTTGACACCCACGGTCTTTCTCTAGTTGCAGAGAGCGGGGGCTACTCTTCACTGCAGTGCGTGGGCTTCTCATTGCAGTGGCTTCTCTTGTTGCGGAGCACGGGCTCTAGGCGTGCACGTTCAGTAGTTGTGGCGCACGGGATTAGTTGCTTCGCGGCATGTGGGATCTTCCCGGACCAGGGATCGAACCCATGTCCCCTGCATTGGCAAGCAGATTCACCACTGCGCTACCAGGGAAGTCCCTCATGTGCTTTTAACAAACCCAGTTTTAAACTTAGTGGAGGAGGCAAGTGGCGCCATTGTTATATAATAGTATTGTCAATTATACTGTTAAATACCTTTCTTTAATGAGAACAGTGGCAGCTTCTATTGATATGAAAAGCTTCTGAATTATTTACCAAACAAATGTCCTAATTTCCAAATAACTGTATTTATAATTGAGAATTGTAGTAGACTGTAAGTAGACTCCACTCACAGTTCTGTTGCCCCAGGCACCCGGAGACTGTTTACTCTCAGTAACTCCAGGGTGCCAGCTTTTTGTTACTTTTGTTCCCAATTCTCAAATCTTCATTTTGTTTCAGTGTGCTCTGAGTACTTCCTTTCTTTCAAGGCCACATGCACACTCTTTCGTGTCTCTTTATCCCAAACAATACAACTTCTCCTCTTATTTGTATTAAATGGCCCCAACGTTTAGTGGACTGGCCCAGTCAGGGCAGGGTGGGGAATGGGGAGGATTATGAAACAGACAAAAATCTAACTAGGCGCTAAATGCCACTCAATTTGAAGCAAATTCCATGTCTTAATATGATGCATCTTCTGTATTACCAGGTACCAAGACTGACTCTATCACATTTCTTTAAAGGCCAAAACTCCCCAAAGTCTGAGCAAACTTCTCAGCAGGTAGCTCTCCTCCATTGTCCAAGTATCACCTAAATACTTCTCCTTTGTCCTTTAATTGTTAATTTTCTTTCTTGTTTCCCCACTGGATGGAAGGTGGGTACTGGGTCTTATCACCTTTGTATCTTGGGCACATAGCTCAGTGACTAAAACAAATGAGGTGCTCAGCGACAGAATTGAAAACGCCCACAGGTGGAATTAAGGTTTCACTAAATCTTCACAGCCTGACTTTGCCTGTTTGAACAAAATAAGTACCATTACCTTCACATTCTTATGCATGGAGCTTGTTGGACTATGAAATTCGTTTGGTGACGTCTCTAAGAGCACATGATGTTCTAAAAATGGGAAGATCCAGAGTACAGGAGCTTTCTGTGATAAAGTAGGTTCTAATATCCTCACTTGACATTATTAAGCTCTTCCATGTTAAATAAAGAAGTGAGAGAACTGGCTTTAAGCCTAACTTGCACAATTCCTAACAGAACAAGCACTATTTTGCAATGAGGACATCTGGACTTAATAATAGTAATAACTAAAACTTACTGGATGTTGACTGTGTGCCAGGTGCTGTTCTAAGTGCTTTTCAATAATCACTATTGTGTAATCCTCACAGCAAACCAAGGAAGGAGGTACTATTATTATCCCCATGCAGAGGAGTAATTTGCTCAAGGTTACATAGTAATGGTGCTGTGACTCACACTCAGCTTTGCTAATTTCAGAGCCCATGTTTTATTTACCATGCTTTGCTGCCTGCCAACATTTACCCCAGATTTTATACTTAAACCTCTAGGGCTGTCTTTGATGAATCCATCTCCTATATTAAGGATCTCTTCCGATGTCCCTATTACTAATCAGTCTCTAAGTCCTGCCACTCATTCCTATGGAATCTCTTTGGTAACGTGTTCATTTCAATTTCTACTACCACCATATGCTCGAATACAGCCCCTGCACTACTTCCTCCACGTAAGTTCCTCTGCCTTCCCTTTCAGAATTCTTCCTCTACCGTTTTTTTTTTTTCCTCTACCGTTTTAAACGGTGATTAATGACACAAGATATTTTTATTTTGTCCAGTAATCATCACTATCTTGCCATTTCTGACTAAAATATATCTCAAGGGTCTGCCTGGTGTTTGAGGCTCTCCATATTCATGCTCCATCCTAGGGTTCCATAGCAGTTCTTCCCATTCCCCATAACGTGACTAGTTGACACATTTACTTATGTCGGTTCCTTCACCTTTTTCACTCTTCTCCACCTCTTTCAAGCCTGGCTCAAGAGACTCACTCACTCATGTTCCCTTCTGTGACCACCCCAGCCTACATGTCTCTCCCCGACCCCAATCCTGTTGTTGTAGGAGGGAGGTGAGAATGACATGAGTGTTCGAGTGTCCAATGCCTAGTATGAGTTGGTGCTTCATAGATGTTAGTTTCCAATCCCTTTCTTCTGCCTTTTCCTACTCTGTATTCCAGTAGTATTTGTCATTTGTACCATACTCTCTTAGTGCTTAATTATGCAGCATTTCATATCATCTTGAACTGATTATGAATGGCTTCATGATTTTTCATTCATCTCCCCACCGAAGATTATAAAATTTTAGAAGTCAGGAACTGTCTTACACTTCTTTACCTCTAATGGGAAGACCCCAGGGCTGGACATGTAGCAGATACTCAGTACGTACTTGTTGACCCGGTAAGGCAAAGGGCAAGGGAAAATGCCTATTTGTAAATATGATGTGAACAAGGGTTAAGAGAGGAAGGCTTAATTATTTTCCACATTTCTGTACACTTTATTATGTTGTTAGCATTTGAACTGAGAAGCAGGTTTTGAACATTTCTCCTTTCTTTTACATATCATAAGAGAGAGGGTAGGAAGAAAATTTCTCTAGTTTCCAAGGTTTTAGTCAATAGAATTAAGAGAAGACACAGGACTCTGCTCTTTTTCCTGGAAGGTAGGCTTCGCCCATCCTCCACCTCCACCCCCAGTCCAAAGATTATTAACGAATGTGATACTGCAGACTGTTAACCTCAATCCACCATTAGCTCTGACTCCTCAGTCATTCTGGGGGGGAAAAATAGGTTTTAAAGTATATACTCAGACTCTGGAACTTACGCATAAAATAACTGGTTTTAAGCCACCCTTGAAGAAAATTCTCCAGATAATTCTTAAATGCATCCACCACTTTTCCCCATCTTCATTGCTACCACTCTGGTCTAAGAGGCCATCATCTCTTACTAAGGTTCTAAAAATGCTCCATATCTTCTGGCTTCTACTCTTGCTGTCTTCAAATCAATTCTCCACTTAGCAGTTCGAAAGATCTTTTGAAAACATACATAAAATCAGGCCGTTTTCTGCTTAAAATCCTCCAGTGACTTCCCATTGATATAAAATGAAATCCAAACTTTTCATGTGGCCTAAGGACTTGTGATCTGGCCTCTCCCTGTCCTGCCATCCTAGGCTGTACCATCTCCCTCATGTATAACTCCAATGCTTCAATCACAGTAGCTGCCTATGTACTCCTCTAGAGTTTTATTAAAAGAAAACCAACAGCTCTTAAGCAGTCAGTGAACACCCCAAATCTCCACAACACCACAAAATGAACTTACCTACCCAGGTGTAGTGCCTTGGTAGAGCCGAGTCATCAGCAGGAAGTCTGGTCATTACTCCCATCCTGTCACTTGGTCACTAACTCCCACTCCCACCTCCACAGTGGCGGCTCACTGCTGCTTCATGGACCTCTCATCATCAGGCATGATTTCCCTGGAGTCTGTTCATGATTCTCTGTTCCTAGGTGGTCACTGAAGCACACCTGATCCGGGGCCTTCTCCAAACCCACCCAGATACTCAGCAGAACTTGTGGGCTTGGGAGGTGGCGAAGCCAGGGAGTTTTGAAGCCTCTGCTCTTAGATTAATTGCAGGGAAGCAAGTAACATATATGGATGAAGTGTGGCTGGAAAAAGCTAATAAATGGCAATGACAACAAGCCTTAGCAACTGGACACAGGGAATGGTGGGGGCTGTGGTAAACATAAAGCTCACTCAGGTCTCATCTGAAATAGCAAGTTACTGTTCTCCTCTCTTTCCCACCAAGCCCACTGTTCAGCCAACTGCTTTCATAGAGGAATTCAGGTCCATTTGGTATGGGTTGCCTGAAATTTCATGAGAAAGTTCCTGATTTTAATTACTGCAATTAGTCCAAATTTAAATAAATTACCATGTGGACAAACAACCAAAACAAATCACAGATAGGCTGCCATTCTGCTGTCTCTGGCTTATAATGCTTCCAAATTAGGGTGCCCTGCTCCACCGGTTTAACTAAGTACAATTAGGAATTGACTTTTTGCACCTTCACTGCTATTAACACATCTTCCTCTTCCAAGGCAACTGAACTGGGGCTAAGTGGGTAAAGTATCATCATTTTCAAGTTCATTTACGACTACTACAGTGAGCTGTGCCTTGCTCCAGCCCTGCTGTCCTTCCAGTTCTTTTCTGACTTGTGTATCTGTCACTCAGAGGGCTACATATCACCTGTCTGGGGTGGCCAAACTCCCCCATTAGCATCTTGGTTTGCCACCATTAGAGGTGCTAGGCCAACCAGGAGATAAAATATTTGCCATTTTACCACTGAAAATTACTATTAGCCGCTCCCAGAGAGACCATCTCACCAATGTAAAGATGAAAGGAAATTTGGTTCAGACCAGTATCAAGTGATTGGCACGATGATGGAACAGCAGCTTAGAAGTCGCAGCTTCCAGCCCGTTGCTGTGGTTGACTGTGAGCACAGTCAGGCTGCAGCCTTTTTCTCTGTGGTCCTGTGAGCAGCATTTCTCTTGTCTCCTGGTCCTGAAAGGCTCCCACACTGAGGCTGGTTCATCATCTGGGGAGCATCTGACTGTCTACAGAGGAAATACTTCCCAATAGTGAAGGTAGCTGGGTATAAGGAGCTTGAGCAGCTTTAGTGTAAGGGCGGTTAGAGCTGATCTTTATTGTCTGATCTTTTGTTTATTTATTGTCCTACCTCTCATGGCACACATACTCCTTCCACCCCTAACTACCAACATGTATACATCCTAGAACATAAACTCTACCAAGGCAGGGACACCTAACCGTCTTGTCCACTGTACCGTAACCCCCATGTCTAGAATAGACACGTGCTCAATAAATATTGGCTGAATATTGTGAAATGGAATCTTACTTATATAAGTTGGCTCAGGGCTGCTTTTACATCAAGGCAGGCGGGGCTAGATATGCCTCACTGATATTCCTTCAGCACCGAGATTCTGTCTCAATGGTGAGAATCCCACAGGCCCCTGTCAGTCTGAGCCAGCAGCTGCTTCGTGAAGGGGAGAAAATGAAGTTACTAGGCAGATGGGCTGGGGGAGGGGTGGAAGATGGGTGAGAAGCAAGAGCATCTCAGAAGATGAACGGAGGGAGTGCTAAGGGGTATGACAGAGTGGGAATGTGGCAAGATCATAGCCATGGTGATGCCTTTTTCCCCAGGACAAAGGGGGCAGGGATGCAGAGTGCCAGGTAGCATTTGATTTGGCCAAAGGGACAGTCATTGCAGCAGGGCACGGATGCCCTGAGAAGAGAGGGCTCAACCAAGAGTCAGAGCTAAAATCTGGAAACAAAGAGCCTTCAAGAGGCAGAACTACTGATGTGCCTCCAGGCCTTTTGGGGTTAGCAGACATTCAAACCCTGACTGAGGTCAGAGGCAGGGGCAGAGAGGACACGCCTTTTTCTTTTTAACAAAAGATCTCTTGAAGAGACTCCACATCTCCCTTAATCACAGGCTCTCTTTGGACTGTGAAAATGAGCTTTCTGACTGCTCATAGCTTCCCTGAGGCTGAGGAATGGCTCCTTGCCATTCTCAGCAAGCAAAACTGGCTTGAAGCCAGTCCAGTCACCTTTTCACTGGAGGACTGCAGAATCCCTCTCTGAGGCCACTCAGCCACCACACAGAGGCTGCAGTACAGCCAGGCCCATGTTGACCCGCCCTGGCAGAGTTCCATAAATCCCCAAGTCCAGACCAGGTCACAAATCACATTTAATTAGATCTTCAATAAAAGTACCTTTGAAAGAAATTTAAATTGTTCCTTCCTCCCAAGAAAGCCTGGAATTTTTCGGAATAAGAAACCTCTTAGAACTGAGTTAGTAGAAGTGATTCCTTGATAAACTATCCAGCAAATGAGAAGTGGAAGAGATAGCTTCCCTTCTTTAAGCAGTGTTGATAGGAATCTGTCAGCAACAAAGATAGAGGGGGAGGTGTTTCTCAAAGGAGGTCAGAGGAGGGCAGGGGGATGGAGGAACAGGGAGGAAGTGATGTTTAATTCCACTCTCAACCAGATCCATTTCCAATTCACTCTAACTCAGTGGTGGACCCAACAAAAGAATGATGGCATTTGTTTGTTTTTACATTATTTTAATACCTTGCTGGGGAAAATACAGTACTCTTGTTAGGGGAACCACTGACTGAAACCACCCACCCTGGCCAGGCCCAAGAGTAACCACTTGCATGAGTTACCTTAAACAGGAGGTCCTGGTAAGGAACGCGGAACTAACAAGCTGCCACCAACTGGAAGAATTCAGGAAAGGTCAAAACGAGAGAGGAGACATCAGTCCATATGTCCTACCAACCTCCCAGATTCCTTCTCGCTGGAATCCATCTTGGCTGAGTGATGTGGAAGCCACCAGGAAGGACCCTGAGTCAGAATGATTGGCCAGGGACAACCTAGAAACTAACCCCATCACCATAAAACCCTGAGACTGTGAGCCACGTGGCAGAGCTGTCCTCCTGGATTCCCTTACCCTACTGGTCTCTGCCCGGGCACCCCTTCCCGATAAAATCTCTTGCTTTGTCAGCACATGTGTCTCCTCCAACAATTCTTTTCCGAGTGTTAGACAAGAGCCCACTCTTAGGCCCTGGAAAGGGTCCCCCTTCCTGCAACACTCTGAAAACAGACTTAGAAACATGATCCTGCCTGGATTGTTAAGACCACAGCACCTGACATATTCCCTAGATTTGTCAAGTTCTCAGGCAAAGTCTCCCCAGGCTAGTCCAGGTGTAATCCCACTCTGGTGGGTTGACAGCAGGAAGCAAGATGGAGAATTTGAATAATAAATCACTGTTAATGGGCACCAAAACACGGATGAGAAATTTCCCCCATCCTCAGGAGGCTCGCTCCTCTGCATAAGAAATGAACTAGAGGGTAGGATCTCAAACAACACACCTACAGATGCATTCTTGCAGGAAGCATACACCCTTCGAGGAAAGATCTTTCGGACTCATCAATCTATGCAGCCCAGCAGAAATGTATCAAATCTCAAATCTGGTAAAGTTTCCTTCTTCCCTTCATTCCTCAGTGAGGAGAGGGAGATGAGGTGGAGGTGGGCTTGAGTTTTTTCTAAAAATCATTTATTATCTTGGTTCTCTGGATAACTACGATTGTATTTCCCCCCTCCCCCTCTCATTCCCATCCCTTCCGGAGGATGAAGCCGGATTTCTCCGCCCTCAGCTAAGGTTGCCCCTTTCCTTCCCAGCCAGCTGCACACAGCAGCTGGAGCCAGAGCATCGCTGGACTTCCAATGCGGGCGGGCGCAGCAAGGAAGGAGGCAATGCGGGAGGCTCCCGAGCTGCAGCCTCTCTTTACCCAGATGCACTGGAGATTTAATTTTAATTAACCGTGAGAGCTATAGCACTGAGGATTGAATTTTTCAAAATAGAGCACAATCCCGCTTTTTGTCTTCCTCCCTTTCCCAAAAGCATCGAAATAACACACACACACAGACACACACACACACAAGGAACAAAGAATCTCACCTACACGTGCCGGGGAGATAGGCAGGCGGACAGTTTGAACGGTAAGGACGCCGCCTTGGGGGAGCGGTTCTGCGCTGGGAGAATAGAGAGCCCCTGAGGCCGGCCGTGCGGGGTGGGGCGGGGCTATGGAGAGGGGCGGGGCGACGCGAGGCAGCGCGAGTGGACTGGACGGGGCGGGGCGGGGAGGGACGGGGCGGGGCGGGGCGGGACGGGACGGGGCGGGGCGGGACGGGACGGGGCGGGGCGGGGCGGGGCCCGGGCGGTCACGTCGGCGTGAGCCCTATGTCCGGCATATTTATAAGGCGGCGTGGGCCCATTGACTTAACCTGGCCTACGCTTCATCAGTCAAATGTCCCGTGGCCGTGAGTTTGCCTGGCAGCAGGCTTGATGCAGCACCAAGTGGCCATCGTCACCGGCGGGGGTACGGGCATCGGAAAGGCCATCGCGACCGAGCTCCTGCATCTAGGTGCGTGAGCAGGCCCCTGGGCTAGGTTACTCAGAGCGAGAGAGCCTTAGAAGCTGGCGGAACCTGGGGTCGGGAGCCAGGGGGCCAGAGGCGGGCTTAGGAGAGCGTGAAGTTGCAAAGCAAAGGAAGTGTAGCTGTGGGTGAAATTTAAACCGCGAGGGAGAGTGGAGAGAGGAGAGTTCTAAGAAAAGTTGTGGAGAAGCGGTGGATGATGAACCACTATTTGTAAACTAAAGGGAAAATTTAGAGCCAAAGATACTGTGTCCGAGGTGGGGATTACGGAGACGTGTGGAATCATGCTATGGAACTAATTATGGATGTGAATTTTTTTTTTTTTTTTTTGGATGTGAATTTAAAATTAATTCTTTCTAGGGAATTCCCTGGCGATCTAGTGGTTAGGACTCAGGGCTTTCCTGCCGGTGGGCCTGGGCTGGATCCCTGGGCGGGGAACTAAGATCCCACAAGCCGTGCTGCTGGGCCAAATAAATAAATAAATTCTATTTATTGCCTAATGAATGATTAGGAAACATGGGAAGACTTCATTTAACTGGAAAAGGTAAAAGTCTCCCATCATATAATCTTCTCGAATCTCTTGTAATATTTACCTTAACTTGGGTGAAGGGAGGACTTTATAAGCAATAAACAAGGAAAGAAACCACAAAAGGGAAAATAGATAAATATGAAGGTGTATATCCTCATTGAATTAAAAAATATATGTGAATAAAGTTTGAAGGAACATGAAGAAAAACATTTACATGTACAACAAATTTATTATATAAAGAGATCTCATAAATAAATAAGGAAAAGATCTAACAACTGATAGAAAGATAGGCTTCTGATATGGGCCAAGCATTTTAAATCAAGAACTAAAAAAAAAGCAGTAAGTATATGAAAAAATAGTCAACTTTTTTGGCAATGAAATGCAAAATATAGCAATAAAAAGGTGCCATTGGTTTTTTAACAGAATTTTAAAACATTGGGGAAAATGAAAGTGTTGATGAGGAAGTGAGAAGGCAGGCAAGAATGTAAATTATTACAAGCTTTCTAGAGGTCAGTTTGGGAAAAAAAATCCGAAAGTATTAACAGTATTTGTGCTGTATGACCTAGTAATTCCTCTCTCAGGAATTTACTCTTCGGAAATAATCAGGGACAAGCACGGATTTGTGTACAAGAATGTAGTGTTGAATAGTGAAACATGATAAGGGAAAAGACTAAATCAGTAACAATGAAATATGCTGCTATTTAAACATCTTGCTATTGAAGATTTTGTTGTCAAATGCATACCATATAATTGAAAAAAATCAGGATTCTAAACAAAATATAGCATTCCAATTTAATTGTTACTGAAAAATATATATGCAGAAGAAGACTGAAAAGAAGTTTGTAATATTGTTATCAGCAACTACTTTTTCTGGAAATGATTTGAATGATGAGTGGTTAAACTGTACTCATTTTTCAAATTTTTTTAATGAACATGTAAGTTGTCTTTGCTTACCATTGTGTTTCTCATGCCCGGCACAGCATATGAACTTAAAAAAAGTATGTTAAGGAAAAAATACATCTTAATAAGAAAAAAAAAGAAAATTAGCATTTCTTAATCTGACCCTGGTGTAGCTTCATCACCATTACTACCCACTTTACTTCCAACACCAAAACTCTAACCCTGTTCAGGAAAATCCATTAGAAAAGTAGAATCGGTTATCATTTTCTGTGAAGGTCAGATACCAGGCTTCACGGCAGATTGGTCAGATCCTGGTTCAACCTTCCAATGTACTTTAAAAAAAAGTAATGTATTGGAAATGCATTTCCTTCAGTGAAAGAGTATACAAATAATGTTTACTCTGACTTGCTCAGCTTTATTTTTTTATTCCAGGATTAATGGCTGTTTCCTGAAAATTGTTATAGAAACCTAAATTGGGCAAGTAAAATAAAATGTTAGCCAATTCAGTTTCCAGTGAGAAGGCTCCTATTTTTTGGTGTGAATTACAAGTTGGATTTTGAGGCATGCTTTTTAAAAATAAATTTATTTATTTATTTTTGGCTGCGTTGGGTCTTCGTTAATGCGTGCAGGCTTTCTCTAGTGGTGGCGAGCGGGGGCTACTCTTTGCGCTCTGCAGTGCGTGGTCTTCTCACTGCCGTGGCTTCTCTTGTTGCGGAGCATGGGCTCTAGGCATGTGGGCTTAAGTAGTTGTGGCGCGCGGGCTCAGTAGTTGTGGCGCGCGGGCTCTAGAGTGCAGGCTCCGTAGCTGTGATGCACAGGCTTAGTTGCTCTGCGGCATGTGGGATCTTCCCAGACCAGGTCTCGAACCCGTGTCCCCTGCCTTGGCAGGCGGATTCTTAACCACTGCGCCACCAGGGAAGTGCGAGGCATGCTTTTTTTTTTTTTGCTGTAAGTGGGCCTCTCACTGTTGTGGCCTCTCCCGTTGCGGAGCACAGGCTCCGGACGCGCAGACTCAGTGGCCGTGGCTCATGGGCCCAGCCGCTCCGCGGCATGTTGGATCTTTCCGGACCGGGGCACGAACCTGTGTCCCCTGCATCGGCAGGCGGACTCTCAACCACTGCGCCACCAGGGAAACCCCCGAGGCATGCTTTTTAAAGTGATTATTGTGTTGTCTTTCACATCCAGATGATTTTGACTGTCCCTTTTCTGAGAGGATGCTGAAAGCCCTAGCTCACAAGGGCAGGATGTAGGGAACAGAATTGAAACCCCCTTCCTCTATTTGACAGATGCTCTTAGACCAGAGGAGTCCTGCTTCCATCAAAGAATATTGAACCTAAGACCATTCACATTGAATTCAAGCTAAATCCTTGTCTCCGTCCTCAAGTTAGTCATTCTCTTTCTGTTGACAGTGGGTGAAATGAAAGTAGGAATTGCAAGTGGAAATTGTGAGGCAAGACAGCACTCTTTCCTGCTCTGGTGACTAGGCTCTTATCAACACCAGGGACCTAGAAGGTGCTTACATGTAGCACTCTGAGTTGAAGATTGAAAGGAATCAGTATCCGCCCAAGCAGAAAAGCGATATATTTGGCTACAAATGCCTCTGATGTGGAAATAACTCATTATTTGCTAGTTACTTCTGTACCTTGTTCTAAGTAAGTTTATCAAGCTTTCTGAATTTCTCTAGCAACTCATATAAACAACAAAAAAAGTCCATCTAAATCATTTAGCGTAAGGGTGAGGAGAAGGATATCGTCTAATAATTTTCTAGTTTATTATAAAATAAGAGCATTGCAATAAATTCAGGTAGTATGGAAGTATATAAAAGAAAAAAATGAGCTTTCCCATTCTGCCCATCTCCTAAATCCCTTTCCTGGTGATTTTCTATGAGTCAGCCACATGCACACATATACACTTGTGTGTATTTTGTTATTTACAAAACTGTGACTGTAGTATTCTTACTGTTCTGTAATTTTTTCTTTCCATGCTAGTGCATATAGTAGTACTTCATTCTTCTCAGAGTTATATAGTATTCTATTGTATGGATATGTAACAATTTATTTAACCATTCCTTTAATGGAAATTTAGGTTTCTAGTTCTACCCAGCACTGCAGCATTCCGCCTTGTAATACTTTTGCCCCCTGGCTCAAGTTTATATGCAGTTACAATAAATAGCCTTTTAAAGTTGTGTCCCAGTATAGTTCTGCTAATATTAGATAACTTTCCTGAAGCCTTCAGGGTTCAGATAGTAATTAGTGATAATTTAGTAAGCTTCTAATTAGATAATTCCTGTGAATAATGCTATTTATATTTTCATTATATCTCTTATTTGAGGCCTTGGACAAAGTCAGGCATTAATCACCTTAGTATTCTTGAGGATTTTTTTTTTTTAATGAGGCTTAACTTCTTAATGTGGATTTAGGAAGAGTTGTAGATGTCAGATTTCCATGCCTTGTCAGCCTGTGCTCTGCTCTAGAGCAGTTAATGCCCATCTTTAAGGCAGAAAGATCAAAGAAAAGAAGGTGATGGGCAGAGGCAGTGGCTAATCCAGGGGAACTTGTTTCTCCTTTCCATTATATTAATCAGATTAGCTATTCCTCCTAATTCAGGGAAACCTGGCTGAGGGTTGGACCTGGGCTAGAAATGTGTATTTCAATTCTTTCCCCTCCTGGGAGTAGAAGCTTCCTCCTGGAAACAGAAGAAGAAAGGAATAACGGTTCTCCTAACAGTATAATATATGCTTTGTTGAAAATTATACATCAATTTTTAAAATTTTATTTATTTATTTATTTATGGCTGCGTTGGGTCTTCGTTGCTACGCGCTTCTCTAGTTGCGGCGAGCAGGGGCTACTCTTTGTTGAGGTGCGTGGGCTCCTCATTGCGGTGGCTTCTCTTGTGCGGAGCACGGGCTCTAGGCACGCGGGCCTCAGCAGTTGTGGCACGCCAGTTCAGTAGTTGTGGCTCACGGGCTCTAGAGCTCAGGCTCAGTAGTTGTGACGCATGGGCTTAGTTGCTCCATGGCATGTGGAATCTTCCCAGACCAGGGCTTGAACCTGTGTCCCCTGCGTTGGCAGGCGGAGTCTTAACCACTGCGCCACCAGGAAAGTCCTATACATCAATTTTGATAAGTTGAATTCTATTTTAAAGTTAGTCTTGTCTTGCAAGGAATTCATGGTGAATCTTTTTAATATTTGCTTTATAAAGCTCTCAGATTGCCTATCAGAATTTCCAAAAGTTGTCTGCATTTGTAACTCACTAAATTATAACCTAATCTTGAAAAATAGTTTTTTAAAGTGCCTTATTTTAATATGCAGAAGCTACCTCATCATGTACAACTAGAAAGGTTGTGGTCAAACAGAGAGCCATTTTACTCTTTACCTTTCTAAGTGTCATTTATTCCATACATGAATATTGAATGTGGACTGTTTTTGAGTGTAATAATTACAATGACAGGGTCCCAGTCTTCCAGGAGATAATAGTGAGTGGGGGGAGACTTAATTATCATACAATACTGGTTTAAATGCTGTATTAGAATGAGGTCAGGGATATGGGAGCATGTAGAAGGAGCTGCCAATCTTGGCTCAGTGAGGGAGAGGAAGGAGGGTCGTCAACATAGTTGTGATTTTCAATATAGTTCGCTTTAAATCTGCCATATACATCTGGGCTTCCCAGAGGTGGTGAGGCTCTTCCCTCTCGCAAGGCTGTCTTGGCACGTATTTCTGCTTTTTATATTTGTACATGAAAAGAAGGAAGCATTCTCTTTAGGATAAACTAACATGTGAGGCAACAATGAGCAATAAGGGTCAGGATTACTTAGTGAGATAAATGAATAGTCCAGTGTCTCATAGCTTAATATTTTTACTTAAGGAAAGCACTGGTGGAGTGTCAGCATTCCCATGGGTAGCTCTTCCTTTTATAACTCCATTTACATACAATTCTAATTTCACTTTCAGTGTTACCAATTTTTATTTCTTTGTTGCACTTTCGTCTTTGTTGGCCAGTCTCTCCTTCAGTCATGGTTTTTGTAAAATGTCACATGGGTTTATCATTGGGAGACAAGGAGGCAACACAACTGCATTCTTTGCCATCTGTACACGAATTGAAGAACAGATGCATAGTGGCCAATCACTTACAGACAGTGAAAGAAGTGAAACAATTAGTCACTGACCGTGATGTGCATCTGTTATTCGCATGTTGATCTGTGGATTTGTACTGGCGGTACAGTTTATATTTTATGCAATTACTCAGTTAATCTGCCATGTTAACTGGAATTTGAACAGTGTTGTTGGGGGTCTGGTGTTATCTAAACTAAGGTAACTGAAATTAGCGTGTATTAGAGCCGAGCAAAACAAGGACTGCGGCTACTTCTACTTCACCCTTCCTGGACATTGTGTAACAATTAAATGCTCATACATTTTATTTCTACATATGTTGTAAAGCCTACAATACACTGATATCATTTTTACTTTAAACAATCACTACCTTTTAGAGAGATTGAATAGAAATAAGAAAAGACTACATATTTACTTTATTTACTCACATAATTACCATTTCCAGTTCTCTTTCTTCTTTTGTAGATTTAGATTTTCATCTGGTAGCATTGTCCTTCTGTTGGAAGGCCTTCCTTTAATCTTTTTGTAGTGCAGGTCTACTTTAATGAATTCTTCTGGATATCATATGTGTGAATAAGTCTTTAATTTGCCATTCCTTTTTTTTTTGCGGTACACAGGCCTCTCACTGTTGTGGCCTCTCCCGCTGTGGAGCACAGGCTCCGGACGCGCAGGCTCAACGGCCATGGCTCACGGGCCCAGCTGCTCCGCGGCATGTGGGATCTTCCCGGACTGGGGCACGAACCCGTGTCCCCTGCATCGGCAGGCAGACTCCCAACCACTGCTCCACCAGGGAAGCCCTGCCATTACTTTTGAAAGCTATTTTCACTGGGTAAGAGTTCTAGGTTCCAAAACTCCCACTGCCACCCGCATCCCCAGTACTTTCAAGATATTCCACTATCTTCTGGCTTGCATTGTTTCTGAAAAGAAGTGTTCTGTCTTCCTTGTCTTTTTTGTGTTCTTTTTCTCTGGCTGCTTTTAATATTTTTCTCTTTATCATTGGTTTATGTAATTATGTCATCAGTGCCATTCCTGGGCCTGTTTTTATTAATTTGCTTTTCTCCTCATTCTGGGTTGTATTTCCCTGCTCCTTTGTATGCCTTGTGGCTTTTTGTTGGATGCCAGACATTTGAATTTTACCTTGTTGCAGGCTAGTTATTTTTGTATTCTTATAAATATTGCTGAACTTTGTTCTGTGATGCAATTAAGTTACTTGGAAACAGTTTGAAACTTTGTAGAGCTTGGGAACAATCTTTCCCCAGCCTCAGATTGTTTCCTTACTCGTATGTACTGATCAGTGCTCAGCTGAAGATCTGAGGGAACTCTACAAATCTCTGGAGTTCCCCCCCTGTGTACCTCCTTTCTCTCTGTGCCATGTGTAATCTAGCTGTCTTGGCCTCCCTGGACTCCCAACTTCATCTCTTCTACCCAGGAGACTGCTGGGCTCTCAATGGGTTCTTCCTCCCTATGTTGCATCCTGAAGACTGTCTCTAGGCAGCAATCTGGAATAATAATAGGGCTCACATTGTTTGTGTTCACTCTCTGGGATCACTAGCCTGTGCTACTTGATATCCAGTGCCTGGAAATCATTGTTGCGTATATTTTGTTCAGTTTTTTAGTTGTTTTGGGCTGGAGGGTAAGTTTAGTTCCTATTACTCCATCTTGACCATATGCAGAAGTCCTAATTCATCTGTTTTTACAAGAACATATGAAACATTTTCTAAACATTATTACTTTCAGAACTTGGACAACCAGTGAAAACATATTTAGTTGTTCTTTGGCTGTTGTCTCCTCAGGGTGTAATGTGGTCATTGCATCCCGTGAGTCTGATAGATTAAAATCTGCCGCAGATGAACTGAAGGCCAGTCTGCCTCCTACCAGCCAGGCTCAAGTCACTCCCATAAAATGCAACATCTGTAATGACGAGGAGGTAAAGCAAATCTATCTTTGTTTTTTTAAATTTTATTGTAGTATAGTTGATTTACGATGTTGTGTTTAATTTCTGCTGTCAGCAAAGTGACAGTTATACATATATATATTCTTTTTCATATTCTTTTCCATTATGGTTTATTACAGGATATTGAATATAGTTCCCTGTGCTATACAGTAGGACCTTGTTGTTTATCCATTCTATATGTAATAGCTTGCATCTGCTAATCCCAAACTCCCAATCCTTCCCTCCCCCTTGGCAACTACAAATTTGTTCTCTATATCTGTGAGTCTGTTTTTGTTTCATAGATATATTGATTTGTGTTTTATTTTAGATTCCACATATATGTGATATCATATGGTATTTGTCTTTCTCTTTCTGACTTAGTTCACTTAGTATGATAATCTCTAGATCCATCCATGTTGCTGCAAATGGCATTATTTCATTCTTTTTTATTTTTGCGATATGCAGGCCTCTCACTGTTGTGGCCTCTCCCGTTGTGGAGCACAGGCTCCGGACGTGCAGGCTCAGCGACCATGGCTCACGGGCCCAGCCGCTCTGCGGCATGTGAGATCTTCCTGGACTGGGGCATGAACCCATGTCCCCTGCATTGGCAGGCGGACTCAACCACTGCGCCACCAGGGAAGCCATCATTCTTTTTGATGGCTGAGTATTATTCCATTTTGTGTGTGTGTGTGTGTGTGTGTGTGTGTGTGTGTGTATGTGTTTCACATCTTTATCCATTCATCTGTTGATGGACATTCAGGTTGTTTCAGTGTCTTGCTATTGTAATACTGTTGCTATGAACATTGGGGTGCATGTATCTTTTCAAATTATAGTTTTGTCTGGGTATATGGTCAGCAGTGCAGGAGTGGGGTTTCTGGATCATATGGCAACTGTAGTTTTAGTTTTTTGAGGAATGCAAATCTATCTTACTTATTCATTCATTTTAATTTATAGTAGTTGTCCCTAAACCTGACTGTGCTTTAAGTTTTCCCATAGTAGCTATCTTAGATGAGGTTCACTAGAAGCAGAGCCTGTGAAGGAGATTCTTGAGCTAATGATCTATTGAGTGAGTGGCCTCTGGAGAAAGAGAGGAAGGGAAGAAATGTAGGGAAGCTAAGCAAGGACAGTTTCATCTAGTGACTACCTTTTGTGCCTTTTGCCCTTTAACTCATTTCATAATGTCTGTTTCATCACTATCCATTATTCTGTGTTGGTAGTTTACAAATTAAAACAATGGAGGGGTGATCCAGGTCCTTGGATAAATCTTGTCATTAAAATTCCAAATTTAGCTTTATGATCTATGGGTATCGGATACTGGTAAATTATTCACTGATATAGGATTTTCAGTTTTATTCATTGTGACTACCTCTCCATTTACTGTGGTTCTCAGAGTTACTATTCACTGTGAGACACTGCAAGCTCTGCTACTCTACTAAAGCAGGTAATAAAGTCCAAGTAGCAAGTTAGGTTATTAACCAGTTCACTTTTAACATTTTATTTATTTATTTATTGAAGTGCAGTTGATGTACAATTTATATGTTACAGGTGTATAATATAGTGATTCACAATTTTTAAAGGTTATACTCCATTTATAGTTATCATAAAATATTTGCCATATTCCCCATGTTGTATAATATATTCTTGTAGCTTATTTTATACCTAATAGTTTGTACTTCTTAATCTCCTACCCTTCACTGCCTCTCCCTGCTTCCCTCTCCATATTGGTAACCACTAGTTTGGGCTCTATGTCTGTGAATCTGCTTAGTTTTTGTTATATTCACTAATTCATTGTATTTTTTAGATTCCACATATAAGTGCTATCATACAGTATTTGTATTTCTCTCTCTGTAACCAGTTCACTTTTAATGTTTTTCTTTAGGCGAATAATTTGGTCAAAGCCACCTTAGACTTTTATGGTCAGATCAGTTTCTTGGTAAACAATGGAGGAGGCCAGTTCTTCTCTCCTTCTGAACACATCAGTTCAAAGGGGTGGAATGCTGTGATTGAAACCAAACTGATGGGTGCCTTCTACATGTGCAAAGCAGGCAAGTGTGATCAATCATCCAAGAAGTCCAAGTGTCTTTATGTAAAGATCATAGAGAATCCTGAAAGAGAAATTGTTATGGGCTCAGAAGCTCCATGTCATCAACACTTACTGCCCTGATTTAACTTACATACAACATAGCAATGCAAATTGCTGCATTTCTGGATGGTAATTTGGCAACATTTATAAAATACAAATATTGTTTGATCTGTTACTTTTATTTCTAGGAAGTTATCATGTAAACATTATTCAGAATTTGTACAAAGATATTGCTACAGAGTGCTTCATAACATAAAGGAAGACTCCACACTTATTTTGTTTTTAAGAAATGAATCTGTTAAATCTATTACAAGGACCTATTAATTAATTCAGTGAAATCTTCAGGGAGAATACCAGAGTCCACATTTTTTATGACTAATAAGTAATTAGCACACATGCATAGTCTTTAGATTAAAGCTTATGTTTCATAGGTGGTAATACTCAACCCTGAAGTTGGGTAACTGAAGAGTTCCCTTACAAACTATCCAAGACATTTTTATGCTGAAAAATGTGGAACGAGTATAATTCTGAACCACAGGGTCTTCACCCCAACATGGGTTAGGCTTTATATTCTTTTATTTATTTTATTTAAAAAATTTTTTTTGTGGTACGCGGGCCTCTCACTGTTGTGGCCTCTCCCGCTGCGGAGCACAGCCTCTGGACGCGCAGGCTCATTGGCCATGGCTCACGGGCCCAGCTGCTCCACGGCATGTGGGATCTTCCCGGACCGGGGCACGAACCTGTGTCCCCTGCATCGGCAGGAGGACTCTGAACCACTGCGCCACCAGGGAAGCCCCCTGGCTTTATATTCTTAGTATCTCTAAATCAAAGGTCTTGCAGACACTTCCAGCCTCATCTTTATCTAACTGGTAGTATACAGTTCCGTATTAATTGTGATACAGGATGAGCTGCTGAAGTGTAGAGATCCATAAAAAAGAGGAGCTTGAATAAGATAGTTGACTTCTCCCTCACATAAAAACTCAAGGTATATAGTCCAGGGATAGTATGGTAGTTCCATAATCATTAGGGAATAAGGATCCTACTTCTTGCTTTACTATCTTTGACATGTGGTTTCCATCCCATGGTCCAAAATGGCTGCTCCAGTTCCTGTCATTGTAACTGCATTCCAGACAGCAGGAATGAGGAAGAATGTAATACTCACTCATTCTTTTTAACAGCACCATCTGGAAGTGGCGCCGTTACATTCACTGACGTTCGTCATCAGCTAGAACTCAGTTAAACGATCATACCTACCTATAAGGGATACTGGGAAATAGAATCTTGAGGTGAGTAGCTATGTGCCTAAGTACAAATTCAATTTCTATGTAAGAAGAGGAGAATGAGCATGAGGAGGTAGCTTGTAGTCTCTAACCCACCCTTCATAGCTCAGCACTTCAACACCTTCCAGCACTCAAGTCAACAGTCTCTTACCAACCTGAGGTTCCTTGCCAACAGCCATTAATTAGAAGTCTGCAGAGTCTAGATTCAGTTATGATTTTTATTAGCCAGAATTGAATTAAAGAATACAGGGCGTCTAGTTTTTGTTTTGTTTTGTTTTTACTTTAAACAATGGGACTTAGCTTTTGGTTTTGAAAACAAGGAATATGAAACATACATTTTTTCTGTACCATAATAATAACAGTGAAAAACTGAAAACCATTTAAATATTCTAGAGTAAAATACTAGTTGAGTGAAGTTTTATACATCTACAGGATAGAGTACTATGCAGCCACTAAAAATGTAGGTATAAAAATATACTTCTCAATATGAAAAGATATTCCCAGACATCGAGTGAAAAGCAGGTTATAAAACATTCTATCCAGCATGATCACATTTCTGCAAAAAACAGTATATATTTATATATGGCTGTATATGAATAGACATAATTCTGAAGGAGTTTATACCAAAATACTGACATATTATCTCTGGGAGGTAAAATTACATATTATTTTCATCTTTTTGCGTATCTGCTTTTTCTAGTTTTTCTAAAATGAACATGTATTTTTAATGTAATTAAAATGATTTAAGTCATGACTACCCTGAAGTTCCAGGTTTTTCAACTTGTACTCTTTGACACAATATGCTATTGTTAAAGACTTGTGGGAACATCCACATATAAATTACTGGTGAATTTAGACTTTCCTATAGCCTTTAATTATTCATTTTACTAATATAGGAATTTCTTTCTCCCAGTTTATTTTTGGAAACCTCTTGAATGTGTGAAAAAGTTAAAGAAATAATACAATGAACTCCTATTAGACATACCTCGTTTTATTATGTTTTGCTTTATTGCACATCGGGCAAGTCTGCCAGCACTGTTTTTCTAACAGCATTTGCTTACTTTGTGTCTCTGGGTCATATTTAGGTAATTATCGCAATATTTCAAATTTTTATTATATTTGTTATGATGATTTGTGGTCAGTGATCTTTGATGTTACTATTGCAAAAAGATTACAACTTGCTGAAGCTCAAATGATGGTTAGCACTTTTTAGCAATAAAATATTTTAAAATTAAGGTTGTACATTATTTTTTTATACATAATGCTATCACACATTTCATAGACTATAGTTTAGTGTAAACATAATTTTTATATGCACTGGGAAACAAAAAAATTTTCTTAATTCACTGTATTGCAATATTGTGGTGGTCTGGAACTGAACCTGCCGAAATCTCCAAGCTGTGTCTGTATACCTTTCATTTAGATTCACCAAGTGCTAACATTTTGCTGCATTTGCATTCTCTCTCTGTGTCTTTCCCCCCTCTCTTCCTCCCTCCCATCTCTGGAGCTCGTTTAGGCGGTGCTCTGAATCCCCTCTCCTCACGCACCCCAAAACAATTGTCTTCTTGCCTCTTCGGCAGGTGCAGATTTTTCCAGACTCCCTCCCGGCCAGCTGTGGCGCACTAGCCCCTTCAGGCTGTGTTCACGCCGCCAACCCGAGTCCTCTCCCTGTGCTCCGACCTCCGAAGCCCGAGCCTCAGCTCCCAGCCCCCGCCCGTCCCGGCGGGTGAGCAGACAAGCCTCTCGGGCTGGTGAGTGCTGGTAGGCACAGGTCCTCTGTGCGGGAATCTCTCTGCTTTTCCCTCCGCACCCCTGTGGCTGCGCTCTCCCCCGCGGCTCCGAAGCTTTCCCCCTCCGCCACCCGCAGTCTCCGCCCGCGAAGAGGCTCCTAGTGTGTGGAAACCTTTCCTTCTTCACAGCTCCCTCCCACTGGTGCGGGTCCTGTCCCTATTCTTTTGTGTCTGTTTTTTCTTTTTTCTTTCGCCCTACCCAGGTACGTGGGGAGTTTCTTGCCTTTTGGGAAGTCTGAGGTCTTCTGCCAGCATTCAGTAGGTGTTCTGTAGTTGTTGTTCCACATGTAGATGTATTTCTGGTGTATTTGTGGGGAGGAAGGTGATCTCCACGTCTTACTTCTCCGCCATCTTGAAGGTCCCCCCCTCCCCGAAGGTCCCGCTTCTATGTTTTTTAGCTGATGCTCTTCCATAAAAAGACTTTTAGTTACACCACATCCATCACTTCTCCCTATATATGTTATTATTATTATTATTAACTTTTTTAGTATACCACTATGGAATCAAGGATTTCTTTTCAAATTCATTGTTTCAAATGTACACATTGTCTCAACTTTAATAGAAATTTGTGTTTCAATGTTTCGCTATTACAAATAATTCTGTGATGAATAACATTGTAAATATTTGTTTCATATTTGTGGAGGTATATATTTAGGGTATATCCGGGAAGTTGGACTGCTGGGTGAAGAGTAAATGCATCCTGTTAGGCATTTGCAAGTTTCTTTGTTTTTTGGCTGCGCTGTGTGGCATGCGGGATCTTAGTTCCCCAACCAGGGATGGAACCCATGCCCCCTGCACTGGGAGTGTGGATTCTTAACCACTGGACTGCTGGGGAGGTCCCTGCAAGTTTCTTTGCATTTTGCACTCCATCATCAATGAATGAGAATGCCTGTTCCTCACAGCCTCACCAAAAATGTGTCTTGTCAATTTCTGGACAACTCTGATGGGCAAGAAATGATATCCCAGTGCAGCATCTTTTCATTTGTTGAAAGGCTACCTGGATATCTCTTCTGTGTGTGTGTTTGAATTGTATTGCTGTCTTTGCACGTGTTTCTCTGGGGTTCTAATCATTTTCTGACATTGTCAGTGTCGTCTAAGAATAGTCCAATTTCCATTACAATCTGTGCAGAGGAGCTTAGACTGACCTGCTGATCTTTTGGGTCATTGTCAATAATTACAAGGGCAAGAGATGGGCCAAAAAGCAACTCATATCTCCCATGGAGAGAGAATTCATGGCCCAAATGCCTGTCAGTGAGTGAATGAATAAACAGATCATGGTATATATGTATAATGTGCTACTCAGAAATGAAAAGGAGTGAACTATTGATTCATGCAGCAATGTGGATAAATCTGAAAATAATTATTCTGAGTGAAAGAAGCCAGATAGAAAAGAGCATGTATGTATGATTTCATTTATATGTTTAAGTCCTAGAAGCGTTGAAAAAAAATTTTTAATGCTAGATTCACTGAGAGTTAGATATTATTCTGCCTCCTATTCATAAATTACAGGAAGAAAATGAAGCAGTGCGACAGCCTTTGGGGTGGTTTATCGCTCATAATCTCTTCCTTTACACAGTGCAAGACATTTCAAATCATATCTGATACACAAATAAGGCCTTAGTATTTCAGAAGATTTTCTCAGTGAAAGAATGGCTGTGAGACGTTATTCAGATGGCAAAATTAAATCTTATGGAACTCCTAGTCTAGATAAATGCCCTTGCTTCTCTTCTGGGCTTTTGCTTCAGAAAAGTGGCTGGAACAATGCCTCATGCGACATAGTCACCATCCTGCCGCTGAATCGTCCACCATCTGTTCTGTTTCGATGGGGGTCACTTTTTTCTCCTGGAAGGGGAGTTTTTACAAACCTCGTGGTCCATTCAGGCATCGCATCCACCTGGACCTCCCAGTAATGCTAGCCGGAATCAAATCCTTCAGAACCCAGGACTACTGGATAAGCCGTAAATCTCTCTGGATAAACTCTCTGCTTTTTCTTCACAAATGTCCCCAATTTTTTTTTAATCCTCAGAGACAGAGAGATTAGGATGTGCTGTTTCAAGATCCAGAGTCACTTTCAGTTTCTGTGTAATTTTCTGCAGTGCCAAATACTGCAGAGGAAGGCCGTCTCCCTCCTTCCTTATGGAACGATCAGAGAGCTGGGCGCTTCAGGCTTTCACACCTGTCATGGGTGGTCTCGACATCCAGCAGCACTTTCCCTTCTGACATCACACTCTTCTCTGCCAACTTCTTTAGTAGATCTTTGAGTGTTGAGATGTAGTCTGAAAATGCTATTGTGTCTGCATTGAGTTTGTATTAAATGTCCTTCTCGGCTAACCTTGAGAACTATGTAGGGGAGGATAAATAATTTTCCCTCTGCCCTTCAGAGCTCTTAGCTGAGACTCCTGTAATAAAAGACAGATGAACAGGAGAAAAACAAATGGAAGTTTATTCACACGTATACCTCATGTATACATGGGAGGTACCCAGGGAAAAATGAGCAACTGCCTGTCGTGGCTTCCAATTCAGGATTAAGTACCATCTTAATAGGAAAAGGGGAGAGGGGATATAGGCCTCTTGGGGTGGGGAGTATATGATTTTTAGGAAAGATGAATGGGTCCTTTGAAGAATGGATGGGAGGTATGAGAGTTGGTGACAAAGTTTGTCCGCATGTGGTGTCGACATCTAGTCTCCCGTCATGTGACAACAGTCAGCCTTCCCTGGTTGATGAGACTCCCAGGGAGGGGATTTATGTCACTGCGTTCCTTTTAGCCGATGAGGGGGGTTCAGAGAAAGCCTCTCTCTGCATTTTCTGTGTTTCAAGTGCCCACAGCTGAAAATAATCAATATACCATCGCAGCAGCACATTCGGGTGGCATCCCACTCCCTTCAACGGCCTCTCACTCACATGCAACAAACTGATCCAGGTGCTCAAATTCAGAGAGTAATTTCTGTCTCTGATTTTCCAACTCCCTCTCTCTCCCCCTCCCTCCATCCCCCCCCACCCCAATCCTAGTAGTTTTCTTTCTTGGGTGGCTGTTTCTGAACACTTGCCACTTTCTTCTTCAGGGGCTCTAGGTCACTGCTGAGCCTTTTCCTATGATGAGAGGCAGGACCTCATATGGTGGCCCTGGTGGTCAGGGGATGAGTGCAAGGGGACAAACACCTCTAGGTTCTCCTCACAGAAAATTGCACGAACTCGACTATGTTTCCTGCATATGCTCATCTGTTCTGCCCCCGCCTCTTGCTCCTGGTGATGTGAAGCTGTGTGTTCACCGTCGTGTCATCCTGTCCAGCTGGGCATTACTCCAGAAGGGCCCCTCCTAGCATTGGTGGCAAGCAAAGAAACCTGTCCTATAAATCCACCCGGGACTGTTGGATGCAGAGTGGCACAAATGGTGGCCACGTTTGATGGTGATGAGGTTGCCCAGGTAATTCTGGCAGATGGAGCGGTTGGTTTCTGCCTGGAGTCCTGCCAGGGCTTTTGCAGCCAACATGGGGACTGAGGGGGACTTTCTTCAGGAAAATGGGGCTATGGAGGTACTCTCTAGTGAGGAGTGGGTACACCCCCAGATCTCACGTACTTGGTTCTGAGGACCTTTTAATTAGAAATTCTAAGCCATAGTATGTCTATACCTTTTTGCACCATATGGATACAGACCTAAGTATTTGAACCTCTTCTCTGGAAACATATTAAAATTTATTTAAATTTTTTTATGTCTAGAAATTCTGTTGATACTATTGCTAGCCTGAAGTATGAATTTCATATCCCTTATTATATAAAATTGATGAAAAAAATAACCACACGTGTAACCCTCAAAATTACCGGTTTGTTTGTTTTCTTCCATAATTAGAAGTTCTTCAAAATATTCCTCTTATGCACATGATGATTTGGGGGAGCTTATGTGGGCCTTGACTTACGTGAGATTTGTTTGACTATAAGATAGTTGTGGTTTTGCTTTAATTTTGAAGGACCTGGTTCTTTCTTATGGTTCAGACAGGGACTCATAACAAGAACATTGTTGTGGGACTCTGACAGGTCATTGGTACACCTATCAGTTTAATTAAGGGAGACATACTCAACAGAAGCTGATTGTAATGTTTGTATTTTGTCTTTTAAAGGCATAGTGGAGCTGCCAGAGAAGGTGTTTACAACCTCACCAAATCCTTAGCGGTGGAATGGGCCAGCAGTGGAATAAGGATCAATTGTGTTGCCCCTGTAGGTAAATGTTCAATATGAAAGCTGTTGACAAATTGTGTTCTTCTGGTTCCATTTGTGTTGTTAGTAGAGGTATTTGTTAATATGCATGTATACTAGAAAAGATTGGCTTTTAAAAATAGATAAAACCAGAAAGAAGTATTCTTTGATTTACAACCAGATTGTCAAGAAGGTTAAGTTAAGCCAATGATTCTCACTCCTGGCTGTGTATTAGAATCATCTGTGAAATAAAAAAAAATAGTGGTATATAAGCTTGACTCCAAACTATGGAATCCAGGTGTTGGTATTTTTTTAAGCTGATTGAATTGCACAGAGAAGGAAATTCAAGTTCACCGTGAAGGTTGAGAATCACTGCCTTAAAGAATGAATTTTTCTAGATTATCTTGTTATTTCTTGGTATATCATTAATCCTTTATTAGGAGAGAGAGAAACTTAAAATCAAAGTTCTAGGAAGGAATTTCCAGTTGAAGATCAACTATAAGTCAAGGGGAAATTTCTCTGAAACATAATGTAAATGATAGGGAAAAAAATAACAATTTGTTCAGCTTTAAACACTGTCATATTATGTGAAGTAAGACATAGCTTAAGCTTCCTTGGGGATTACATATTGGCCATGTACTCCAAGAGAGATAATAAATGAAACATCTCACATCCTGCAAAACTCAGCTCAAATTCATTTCTCTGTGATGATTCCTGGTCATTGCTAAGATAGTAATCATCCCTCAGTCTGAAACTCTGTAATATCTGGCGGGTATTACCTATGATCTATCTATATAGTATCCATAGATATTGTTATCTATGCTACTCAGTGGGAACTAAGCATGAACTGACTTGTAGATGTTAGAGAAATCTCATCTCTAACAAATGCAGGTTCCTAGCCAGAAACTTCACATACCTTCAGTGTTTTGGGGCTGACATTACCTTATCTACCTTACTCTCAAATATTTATAGAGTAAATTAGATATAGTTCCATTCTGAATGTTGATACTTCGGAGTACTGGCCTCCAAACATGTATTTCTTGATAACCTTTAATGATGTGTTTGTGTTATAAGCACAATACTAAAGTCAGATTTGTCCTCCACAGATGTTTTTAGGTTTAATGTCTAAACCTTAATACTACTGGAAGATTCCATCCTCTTTATTTATTTATTTTTAAAATTTATTTATTTATTTTTGGCTTCGTTGTGTCTTTGTTGCTGCGTGCGGGCTTTCTCTAGTGGTGGCGAGCAGTGGTTACTCTTCATTGCAGCGCGCGGGCTTCTCATTGTGGTGGCTTCTCTTGTTGCAGAACACCAGCTCTAGGTGCGCGGGCTTCATTGGTTGTGGCTCGCAGGCTCAGTAGTTGTGGCTCGCGGGCTCTAGAGCTCAGGCTCAGTAGTTGTGGTGCACGGGCTTAGTTGCTCTGCGGCATGTGGGATCTTCCCAGACCAGGGATCAAACCTGTTTCCCCTGCATTGGCAGGCGGATTCTTAACCATTGCGCCACTAGGGAAGTCCCGATTCCATCCTCTTTAAATAAAAGGTTACAAATTGTTTAATTGGAAACCGGTATATTACCCCAGTATTGTTTGGAGTAATTAATACTGCCAAGTTTCTACATCTTACTCTCATCCCTCCTGTTTCCTCCCCTTCTAATAACCTCTGCTGTATATAATTATAAGCCAGCAATAAATAGCTTTATCCTGTGTTAAACAGTTTTTGAGTAATTTTTTTGGCTTTATAAACCATTGAAAGCTACTGAAAGCTGAATAAAAGAATTCTTAAACAATTAAAATTTAAATTTATTTGTATTGCATTTAAATTTTTTATTTGTGATTTTTCTCTAGGTAAGAAGCCATGAAAATATTGCATTTTCTAAGTCCTACTTAACCATAGGCCAGTTTTCCATTGTAAAACATAGAAGCCTTAGTGGAAGGTAAAATAGACTCCCCTGACCCATTGTTCCCAGTTAAGGGCTTCTCTGATCTACTCGTATGATTATGCTTTCAGAAACCAAGTCTTTTATGAAAAACTCTCGAGCTTGGCTGGTTATAATGCGAGGTGAGGTCACAAAGTGAGCATTCAGATAATCCTTTTGAGTAGTGGTTGACTGTACTTCTTTGACCATTTTGAGAAAAATTAATATTAGAAATGTTAACTTTTCTATTAAACTTAAACAACTTGGTATTGGATGACAGACTGCCTTGTTGTCTTTACAATTAAAATTTAATTTTATGTACTTTATTTTTTCCTGTTTTATTTTAAACATAGGGAATCATTTATTCCCAGACTACTTTTAACAACCATGGTCATTTGGCAATAGACTTATTTGAAGGGTACTTTCAGAAAATCCCAGCTAAAAGACTTGGAGGTCTTGAGGAGGTGATGTATGTATCTAACATTGGTTGGAGTTACTTTGTTTTATACTTTGGAGACTGGTAATATTTTGGTGCCCTTTTTAAATAGTCTGGTTGGCTAATAGAGAAGATTGCTCCCATGCCATGAAGCCATTTCCACTGTTCCTTCTGGCTCCCAGGAATCCTATCCTGATGGTGCTTTGAATACTCACAGTAGCATTTATTCAGGAGTGAATGCAGTGTGGATTAAGAGCAGCATGTTTTTATTGTTTCATTGTACTTTTCAGCTACTTTGTTTTATCACGTGGCATTTATGATACACAGAAACGTAAGCAAGTCAGACAATTATGACAAAATGAAGTTCCATACACGATTCCTGTAAGGTGGCCAGCTTTAAGTATGTAAAAATCAATAGCTTTCTTAAATGCCAGCAAGATCAGTCCTAAATTGTAATTTTTTTTAAAAAAGAAGATCTTTTCCACAATAATAATAAAAACGAAAATACCCGGAGTAAACTTAACTCTAAATGAAAAAACGTTTATTACTGAAGAACAGAAAAAAAAGACCAGAATAAACACAGACATGTCACATTCCTCAATGGAGAGGCTCAATTTGACTAAAAACAAGTTTCCTTAAATCAGTGTATACATTTAATATATTTTTGGAATTAATATACTGATTCTAAAGTTTGTCTTGAAAAAGATTTATGCCAAAACTGCCAAAAATGTTTTGAAAAAGAATAATGAGGGGATTTGACCCTCCTGCTACCAAAACGTACTATAAAACTATACTTATTTACCACATCGGGGGCTGGTACTAGAAGAGGTTAAAATTAGTGGAACAGAATGGACTCTCGTATCAGTACCATATATATAAGGGGAGTTTATAGGAAAAGTAGCATTTCAAATCTGCAAGGAAAGCATAGACCATTCAGCAAAAGTCTTGCAGCAATTGGCTGTTCCTTTAGAAATAGAGCTCCTTGTCTCATATCACACGCAAAATGATTTTCAGATATATTTAAGTGCTAAATATAAAAGCAAAGCCATAAAACTCTTAGAGGAAAATGTGTTCTAATTCCTAGAGCTAGCTTTCATTATCAGTTTGATGTATATCTTTCCAAAATTTTACTGTGCATGCTCAAAAATATTTTTATTTACAGACTTTTTTACGAAAGTGGGATTCTATTGTATGTTTTCTGCCACTCGCTATGGATGTGGCATAGTATATTTAATTAGACCCTATTGTTGCACATTGCGATTCTATTTATATTTTTTATACTTCAGTAATTCTGCAGTGAACATCCTTCAATGTAGTCATGCACTCTTGGGTGAGGAGGTAACTTTCTAGAAGCAGAATTCCTGAACTAAAATTGACTTGTATATTAAATTTTAGAAGATACTGTTAAATCCAACATTTGATGAGCGATTTTGAGCAAGGTGCTTGGATTTTTATCCTGAAAACTGAGAGTGATTTTTAAAGACTTTAAATCAAGGGAATGATCTAACTAAATTTTGTTTTGGAGAGAACGCTCTTTCTATTTTATGAACTATATTGCCTATATTTACTGTATTAAAAATTGAAATTGAGAAACTTAAGAAATATTTATGAATTCATTTAAAATCATCTTAATAAAGGCATTACATGCTATGAATAATATTTTTACTGAAAAATAGCTACATTTTAAAATACAAAAGCAAACTTTTTTGCATTTGTTTTACACTTTTTACAAATGGCTTAATAGAAAACAGCTGGACTCACATCTGCTTCTGCATTCAGTCTGTTGCAATATGTTGTTTTGGTTAAAGCATGTGAAGCGAACCTGGCTTTGTGCCAGTTGGAGAAGGGAGGAGTATTTCAACAGCCTTTTTGGGTAATTGTGGATATTCTTCCTTGATACTCAACAAGTGGCAGTTTCTTTTTCTTTTTTTTTTTTTTTTTGCGGTACGCGGGCCTCTCACTGTTGTGGCCTCTCCCATTGCGGAGCACAGGCTCCGGACGCGCAGGCTCAGCAGCCATGGCTCACAGGCCCGGCCGCTCCGCGGCATGTGGGATCCTCCTGGACCGGGGCACGAACCCGTGTCCCCTGCATCGGCAGGCAGACTCTCAACCACTGTGCCACCAGGGAAGCCCCAAGTGGCAGTTTCTTAAAGATTAATTGCAATGTGGAATCTGAAACCATGTCAGTGAACTTTTTTACTCTGTCACATTAAAATTCCTTGGTATTCCTTGCACTTTTACTGGGTCTTTCACCCATAGATGATTTTGTAACATCAGACATTGGTCTTTTGGAAAATATGGGTTCACTGAATTACAGATATCTTCTAAATGTTGACACACAATTCATGATACAGTATCAAAAGTTCACATTTGTTAATATCACCACCAATCTCTTCTGAAAAATCTTTAAGTATTAGAAAACTGTCAAACTCACAGTGACATGTACAACTTTTCCAAAATTCTAGTTTTCACTTGAAAGCTCAAATCTTGTCATTGACAAACACTGTCAGTTGTTTTCAGCTGCTTGAAGTGGCAGTCTCGGTTCATTTTTGAAAAAAATGTCTGCCAAATACCCAAGTGTGAATAACTGTAGCTTGTTAGTCATTCTTTCAAGTAAAGAATGATGTTTTGTGAAAAAAGTGACTAGTTCGGTTCGTAGCTCAAGCACACGTTCTTTTCCCTGAGACAACCTTTATCCTTCCATGTGCAGCACAAGAGCTGAAAGTGTGATTCTCACCTCGTCACACAGGATATTAAAAAGATGTGTACTCAGTAGTTGAGATTAATATGATTAATAATTTTCAGTGCTCATCGAGGGCATCTGAAAGTGAAAGAGACTTCCTCCCGCCGGGAGTGCTTGCTGGTGACGTATATCATGACTGCTAGTGTAATGATCACCACTTCACATTCGTGCTGAGGCTGCAGCCATTTTTCCCATCACGGCTTTGGCACCATTAGGACAAATGTCAACACAGTGAAAAAGATAGATAAGGACTCAGTATGGTTATGAAAACAGTTTTGACCTCGCAAATCCCCTGAAAAGGTCTTAGGTATGCCCAGGGTTTTGCCAACCGTGCTGTGACTAACGTAGGTAATACCTTCAAAAAGTTTGCTTGTAAGGGGAAGAAGAGGTGATGAATTGCCATGAGTTGCAGAATAAGGAGAGCGTTTCAGCCTCTGCTTGATAGGGTCCTAGCATCCCTAGGTCGTGTTTCCAAGCTACTCTGATTGCCCCAGCTAATCACTAATGCCCTTTCTGGGGGCAGAACTTTCACAACAGGCTATTGGTGAACTGCTTATCAGTGAGTTGTCTTTTTTTAAGTGACAGTTCCTGGGACTGAGTCAGGAGGGTCAGTGTAGCTGTAGTTTTAAAAGGAACTGCCAGGGCTTCTGCGGTGCCCTCAACGTCTCTTAGAAGGGAGTGCAGCACTTGGCAGGCCCTTCAGACGGCTTATACTTACCCTGTACACTCATTTTACAAATTAAGAAATCAAGAGCCAGTGAGGTTCAGTAATTTGCCTAAGGCCATACTCAGGTCATGGTACTAGGACTCAAACCCAAGTCTACTTATTATTGCAGCCCTATTTACAATAGCCAGGACATGGAAACAACTTAAATGTCCAATGACAGATGAATGGATAAAGAAGATGTGGTACATATATACAATAGAATATCACTCAGACATAAAAAGGAACGAAATTGGGTCATTTGTAGAGATGTGGATGGACCTAGAGTCTGTCACACTGAGTGAAGTAAGTCAGAAAGAGAAAAACAAATATTGTATGTTAACGCATATATGTGGAATCTAGAAAAACGGTACAGATGAACCCTATTTGCAGGGCAGGAATAGAGACATAGATGTAGAGAACGGACATGTGGACACGGGGATGGGGGGAAGAGGAGGGTGGGACGAATTGGGAGATTAGAATTGATGTATGTACACTACCAAGCATGAAATAGCTAGCTAGCGGGAACATGCCATAAAGCACAGGAAGCTCAGCTTGGTGCTCTGTGACGACCTAGATGGGTGAGATTGGGGTGGGGGGGGTGGGAGGGAGGTCCAAGAGGGAGGGGATATAGGTATACATACAGCTGATTCACTTCATTGTACAGCAAAAATGAACAGCAATTGTAAAGCAATTATACTCCAATAAAAATAAATAAATAATAAAATAAAATCCCTGTGATCTTTAATAAACACAGCTGAAAGTAAACAGATAACTGAGCTAAAAGAGGTGTTACCCACATAGATGACGTGGATACAAGTTGCTAGGCTCCTGTAGTGTTTATTGATTGACAACATGCCTGATTTAGTACTTCAAGTTCATCTGTCAAATGGATTCCATTAAAATGAAAGTTAGGAAGAATCTATCTGAAGGTATTATAATAGTGCTCAATTTGGAAATTATAAAAATTTTTTTAGTTCATTTTACCTGCATGTTGAGTTCCAAGAGTAAATCAGGTGTCATGAATATTTATGTCTTTTATTAATACCTCACAGGTAGTTTCAATCCAATTCAGTATTATTTAGTGGTGCCTAGTCTGTTGGCAAAACACTGTATTGAGAGCTAGGCAATGAAAAATCCCTTTATTTGAGGGGGAGAGGTGCAAAAAGATTCTTTCCCTCTGTCAGCATTTATTAAGTAGTTATTTTATGCTAAACACTGTCAAAGGATGGAGCCACTGCTCAATATTTGAAACAAAACTCAGCACAAAACCACATTCATTGCTGGTCAGCCACAGTCTCTTGGAGTAGACTATTGAGGCTTTTTATTCTCCCCCCCTTGGGGGGAAGTATGGTTTTAGAGATTTGCAGACTTCTAGAAGCCATGGTTACTTGGGTGAGAGGGTTGTTGTTTGGCTGACACTCAGAAAGGAGCTTATTGGACTGAGTCTTCTGGATTGGCTAACTTGCAGAGTCAAAGAGCTCTCACTGATTGGTTGACTAACAAAATGTGTTCTCAGGGCGAGTTGTCATTGGTTGATTACACAGGGTAAAACTAGTTCTGATGGCCACCTGTTACTAGGCCCCATCAGCCCTTCCCCAGGAATATGGGAACTTATAAATTATTAATTCTATACTAACTCTGTCCAATAGAAATGTGATAATAGTCACATATGTAATGTTAAACTTCATAATAGCCACATTAGGAAAAGTTTTAAAAAGAAGTAAAATTAGTTTTAGAAATATATTTTATTTAACCCAATATATCTAAAACATTATCATTTTAACATGTAATCAGTATAAAAATTATTTATGAGATTATTTTACATTCTTCTTTCCATACCAAGTCTTCAAAATCTGATGTGTGGTTTTACACTTACAGCACATCTCAATTCAGACTAGCAGTATGGAAATGCTTTGGTTGTGTCATATGGCTAGTGGCCTCCATTTTCGACAGTGCTGTCCTAAAATAGCTGCTGGGGATACAAGGATGGAGAGAAGGCTATGCTTCCCTCCAGGGTCTCAGAGTCTCAAAGAGGCACGACCATGTAAACAAACATGCTATAGTGCTCTGTGCAGGCCCAGGACTGGTGTGAGTCAAGCAAGGTACAAACACAATATTTAAGGACCCACTTGCTCTCAGGGTTGCATAGGTGCAGGGTCTGCCCCTAGGGTGAGCATCTCCTTAACTGCTGTACCCTTGACCCCAAACACCTTGTTAGCCTCACCCCAGTCCCAGGGCAACCTGATCAAATGGCAGATTCTGGGGCCCTAACTCTAGAGCTTCCAATTCAGGCAATCTCAAGTAGGGTCTTGGAATCTGGAGTTTCAGTAAGCACCCCTAGGGATTCTAATGCAGGGGTTTAAGATCACCCTTTGAGAAACTCTGCCTGTGCCAGCAGCCTCATGTGAGACTTCCTTTACATCCAGTGAAATAATTTCTGTCTTTCTCTTTGGTTTTGGAAGTAGATGTTGCTAAACTCATCAATTACCTATCTGCACTTTTCGGGGCTGCAGTGGGATTCTCAGGTCCCTCTGGTAGAAAGCTCTGAGTTGCTGGGCTTTGGGCCTAAAAGGACCATGGACTAAACAAACTAGAAAGCCAGTTTATGGTTATACAGACACAATGACTATTTCAGCGAGAAAACTATAAAAGGCATGTGGTGGTGTTGAAAACAATGAGGATTGTGGGGGCTTCCCTGGTGGCGCAGTGGTTGAGAGTCCGCCTGCCGATGCAGGGGACATGGGTTCGTGCCCCGGTCCGGGAAGATCCCACGTGCCGCGGAGCGGCTGGGCCCGTGAGCCATGGCCGCTGAGCCTGCGCGTCTGGAGCCTGTGCTCCGCAATGGGAGAGGCCACAACAGTGAGAGGCCCCCGTACCGCAAAAACAAAAACAATGAGGAATGTGGAAAGAACTGAATTATTTGAGATGGGAGAGAGCAGACACTGAGCGCTGCGTTCACTTTTGGCTACTTCACATTGTGTAGTTCGTTTGACTCTGTCCGAGGCTCTTTTTATCTTGCCTTCACCCTAGTCACGTACCTAATTTTAATGATGCTCAGATAGAAAAAGGCGTCTGTCTATGCACCTTCAGGTTATAGCACACACAGACTGGCATTCTAGGCTGTAGGATTCAAGATACAGACCTGTAACTTCAGATGCGTTTACTCGGGAATGTGAAACAGCCCAAAATGAGGAGTATCTGATTTTTCGTATGCATGTGTGTGCTTCCGTCTCCACCTTGGTGTGCTTCCTGCTATCTCCTGCAGCTTCCTTTATCACCGGACACTTGGTGGATGTGGATGGGGGCCAATCTCTGTACACACACTCATTTGAGATACCAGGTGAGCAGTCGAGAAATGAGTAGTCACTCACTTTACACCTTCGTCTGTTCAGGTTTTCAAAAGTTCTTTAGGTACTTAAGAGATAAGCGTTTTTTTTTCTTGTAGAACATCAAAAATGTACAAAATATTTATAGTCATCATATGATTTTTTTTTTTTTTTTTTGCGGTACGGGGGCCTCTCACTGCTGCGGCCTCTCCCGCTGCGGAGCACAGGCTCCGGACGCGCAGGCTCAGCGGCCATGGCTCACGGGCCCAGCCGCTCCGCGGCATGTGGGATCTTCCTGGACCGGGGCACGAACCCGTGTCCTCTGCATCGGCAGGCGGACCCTCAACCACTGCGCCACCAGGGAAGCCCATCATATGATTTTTAAAGGCAGTGTTCCTAGTCCAGAAAATATCTGAATATATTATAGCACACAGCTTTACATATTAAAAAAGTTGTTTGTGTGTGCATAGGCTGGTAAATTTTAACCTTGAAAAATACTCTCAATATGAGTATATATGTACAAGGAAGAGATAGAACAGAGGCAAGAAGGTGCCATACTTTTGAGAGTGAACTTCTCTTTGTTTCTCCAGTAAGTGGCTTGTGTATCTGAGCGGAAGAATCAGACCTGTTAGGTGGGGAGGGATGATATGGTGCTATTTTATACTATCTTTGCGTTATAGATGGAATGAAACCATATGAATTTGCCGTGTTCATTCATTTTTGATGTACAAAACAGCAGTTTTATAAGACTCATCCAAATGTAGATACTACACACAAATATCTGTGTGTGTGTGTTTATCTTATGGCTGGACCATAGAACTTGGGGGTTGGAAGGGTCCTAAAAAATCTGTCCAGGGCTTCCCTGGTGGTGCAGTACTGCAAAAAAAAAAAAAAAAAAAAAATCTGTCCAGCATCCTGATTTTACAAATGACAAGACACATCCATGGATTCAAGGCATGTCCAAGTTAATCACTCCCAAAATGTAGAAAAGAATATGAAATTCAAATGTGTTTGAACTGTTGCTAAAGATAGTTGATTAAATGGCTGCTAGTGAATTAAAATGTGGTTGATGTAACATATGTGTACTTGAATTTAACATCAGGGACCTACTCTTTGCAACCTACTCTTTTATGTGCTAATAGTCTTATCAAGGGTTCAGACCTTCTTTGCATTAATCACTGATTAGTTTGGATCTGTAATATTACTTATTATTCCCCCCCCCCCGTATATTTCTTTACTAATAGCACCAGTGTGGTGACGTGCATAAGATACTGTGGCTTTAAGGATCTCATTTGGAAACACAGAAATGCCTACATGGTTATACAGTATTGTTTTCTGATAGTATTTAATGTAGCAAGGGTGGGGGAAAAATCTTTCCACTTCCCTCACCAGTGGAGTTGAGTCAGTATTTGTTAAAGTGAGGTACATCGTTTTTCCTTTTTAAAGAAGAAAAAAAAACTCGAGGTGAGTGCTTCTCCAGGCCTCCAGTGAAATGGTTTTCTTTTGTAATTCTAACACAGTTTTTTCATCAGTACAAAAAACATGTTTTAAGTTTTCGAAGAAAGCAGCCACATCCATCTTTTAAGAATATACTCCCCCCAAATAATGAGCAGGCATAGTCAGCCTTTCCTTCTAAAGTTTTCTTTAAGATTGCCAGCCCTGCAGTGAGAATGCCTGGGATGGAAGCTTGGCTATACCCTTATTAGCTGATGTTCTTGGGAAAATTCATTTCTGGAAGCCTTCATTTTCTTTTCTATAAAGTGAGGTGCCTTATATTATTCATTTCATCAGCTGTTGGGAGGATTAGATTAGTTAATGCATGTTTAAAGTCCTGTGTCAGATAGGATGCTTTTAGCTACAACTCAAACTGGCTTAAGCAATGAAGGAATTTGTTGTCTCAAATAACAGGTGAGACTTGACTCTGCAGCTCAGTGATCTCATCAAGGGCATTTTTTTCCTTTTCCCTCTGTTTTTGCTGCTATGATGTTGGCCATATTGTAAGATGGACTCTCCTGGTAGCAGGATGGCTGCCTGCTGCACCTGCAGCTACAGGCTTCTTTGTTCACATCCACCTGGACAGAGACAGAGGGGAGGGAATGACTTTGTTTCAGCATTTCTAACCAAATTCTGAGACTCCCTCTGCTTGGGACCAGCTTATGCAAGTGTCTATCCTCAACCAGTAACCCCAGCCAGGGGAACAGGGTGCACTTATGACTTAGATCAGTCAGTGATCTGAGTAGGGTCACTTCCCCAGAACCTCATGGTTTTCTAAATGGAAACTGAGGCTGTTGGAGAGAGGAGATGGGAGACTGGCTGCTGGGGGTGTGGGCAACTCTAAGTGTCTGGTACAAAGTAAGCATGTTTTAGAAGGTGTTATTATTAAGCACGTAAGATTGATTGAATATCTACATTATGTCCAGCACTGTACATAGGAATCACATTAACTCTCTCAACTTTAACAGACAGATGTTGTTATCCCCTTTAATAGATGAGGAAACTGAGGCACAGGAAGAGTAACTTCTCCAAGTCTGTAGAAGTAACTTCTACAAAAGATACTAAGTGGCTGAGATGGGATTCAAATTGAGGTTTTTTTCAAAACCTTTGCCATTCGTCCCAGTAATTTCTTTTTTCTTGCTGAGAAAAGGGGTGAACCAGGGAAAATGACAAAATGGTTTGGTGGAAACTAAGAGGACTAATGAGGTTAATAGATTTGCATCTGACCTGAGGTTTTCCACTTACTTAACAGATCATGACAGCTGGCCCAAGGGAGTAGGGGACCTTTCTTCTGTCAAAAGGATTAAACAGTCTTCTAAGCAAAGAGGCAAGCTCTAGGCTAAGGAAACATGGAAGTGTCCTTTGTCCCCAAATGCCTTAACATCTCAACCATGCACTTCTATACTTTACAGGAACATATAATCTGTATGGAAAACTTACATTCTGATTTTTTAATGTTATCAATTACATCTATGCAAAAACTATTCCCGAAATAAATGCATTTTTAAGTCCCAACCAATGCCCTTTAGCTTGTGATCAAAAAAATTTTAGGAATGGAAGTTAACATACTTTATGATTATACTTTTTATTTCTAAGAATGGTATTTGAAAAGTGAAATATTTCAAGTTAATGATAGGGGTATCATGACCTCCCAAAAGGATATAATATTTAATTGTAAAGGTAGGCAGTAAATCTACATTGTGGCATCATTATGATTTTTACCACAGAAATATACAAAGAATCATTTTTGGTGGCAGATATAATACTTTTGGATCAGTAAAGCTTTATGTAATTATTGCTGTGTGGTTTGTTCATGAAGCCAAATTTGTGTAAACCCTCTTAATTAAAAAGAAAAATAAAGTCATAAGTAGTATTTTTTGCAGTGCTTGATATGTGTCTTGATTTCTTAGCCAAGGATTCCTCTTTCTCCATGTTTCTCCTTTTGTACGCAAAAAAATTTTTTATTTAGAATTTATGCAGTTGTATTAGGGTTCTGTTTTCTTCCTTCAATTTATCCTTTCTGGCAATCAGTCCCGATTTATGAAGTGCCATCTACAAATTATGTATGTTCATTTCTTCTCTTAATCAATTAAACCTCTTTAAAGTGACTTATTCCCTCTTGAAGTGAAGTAGTTTCTTCATCAGTAACAGTCAGTTCAAAGTATATGATTGACCAAGCTCTGGGGTGCGGGGCCCAGAATCTGTAATTTTTGCAGCATCCCAAGCAGGTCTGGGACCAGGATGAGGCCAATGAGCTGCCTTGGGCCCCATGTAAGGAGGTGCTCACTCTCAGAAGTGAACAAGTGCAAGGCCACCCTTGAGAGTGAGCCAATGTTCACTTAAACGCTGTCCTCATTCTGTGAATGTGGAAGGATCAGAAATCTGCCTTTCCTCCTAGACTACATTTTAACAGTAGCCTTCTGGAGATGATAACATCACAGCTTCTAAGAATTACAAGCCACTTTAGAGGGCAGGGTGGCCCCGGCCCAGGTTGGTGCGGAAGACGGAAGAAGCAGGGCTTGCTTTTCAAATTGCTTCGTGTTGGTGACTGCTGACAACCCCTTATATCTCCATAGGTTGACATTTGCTTATTTCTGTTTAAGACATGGAGGCTGCCCTACGTAGCACTAAACTCAGCTCCAACTCCTTATTAGATCTTCTTGTTCGACTGTCACTGTACAGCTGATCATTATCTGTGCTCTAGAAATATAAGTCTGCTCTCCAGGATTTCTGTGTGTGTCATAATAGTGTCTTGTCAATAATGTTCTTCTGCTACTACACTTGGTAAATTTTGCTGTAGATTGGATGTTCCTGAATAGCCTTACTCATTCATTCAGCTAATAATTTGGAGCCCCTACTATGTGCTCAGCATTATGGTAGGAGTTGGGTGTTCAGTAGTGAAAAAAAATACACACAGAAATTTAAAATTCCCAAATAATCTTTTTTTGTTTTATTTATTTATTTTTATTGAAGTATAGTTGATTTACAATGTTGTGTTAGTTTCAGGTATACAGCAAAGCAATTCAGTTTCATATATATATATATATATATACACACACACACACATACACACACACACACACATATCCTTTTTCAGATTCTTTTTCCACTATAGGTTATTATAAGATATTGAATATATACTAGTATGTATCTGTTAATTCCAGACTCCTAATTTATCCCCACCTTTCCCCTTTGGTAACCATAAATTTGTTTTCTGTGTCTCTTTCTGTTTTGTAAATAGGTTCATTTGTATCATTTTTTAAGATTCTACATGTAAGTGATATCATATATTTGTCTTTCTCTGTCTGACTTATTTCATTTAGTATGGTAATCTCTAGGTCCATCCATGTTGCTGCAAATGGCATTATTTCATTCTTTTTTATGGCTGAGGAGTATTCTGTTGTATACATGTACCACATCTTCTTTATCCATTCATCTATTGATGGACATTTAGGTTGCTTCCATGTCTTGGCTATTGTAAATAGTGCTGCTATAAACATTGGGGTATATGTATCTTTTCGAATTAGAGTCTTCATCTTTTCCAGATATATGTCCAGGTGTGGGATTGCTGAATCATATGGCAGCTCTCTTTTTAGTTTTTTTAAAGAACCTCCATACTATTTTCCATAGTGGCTACACCAATTTACATTTCCACTAGCAGGATAGGAGGATTCCCTTTCTCCTCTCCAGCATAAAATTCTCCATTATTTTAGGTGCTACAGAGGAAAAGGTCATGGTACTAAAGGCATATAACAGGAAGAAAAAGACATCTCGAGAAAAACAAAAGCAATTCTATAATCATGTTAAAAGAGGTTGTTGATAAGGTGACCTTTGTCACCCCCTTCCACACACACTGGTCTTTTGGTTCGTGGCTTGTGTTAGTTCAGGTCCTCAGAGAAGAAGATGCCAGGGAAGAGTAAGATGTGCTTGAGACTTCTGGGGAATGTGCCCATGGAGGGTAAAGGGCAGGGAGCCTGAGAAGGCATCCACAGCCTTCAGACTGTGATGGAGTCTGACACTTGTAAAAGAAGGAGGAAGAGGGCTTCCCTGGTGGCGCAGTGGTTGAGAGTCCGCCTGCCGATGCAGGGGACACGGGTTCGTGCCCCGGTCCGGGAAGATCCCATATGCCGCGGAGCGGCTGGGCCCGTGAGCCATGGCCGCTGAGCCTGCGCGTCTGGAGCCTGTGCTCCGCAACGGGAGAGGCCACAACAGTGAGAGGCCCACGTACCGCAAAAAAAAAAAAAAGGAGGAAGAGAGGAATGGGCAGGAAACACCTTGGACTGTAGCCACGGTTGCCACACGTGCGTGAACACAGTCACAGTGGGGCAAAAGGGTATCAGGAGGCATTCAGTGGGTCACCTGGTCCCCTGTCCCTCCCTGTCCCCACTGTAGAAGAGCAGCTCTGACTCCTTCTGCTGGTGATGGCAACTCCTTTTCTCACCAGCTGGTACCTGGTCACAGGGAGTCCAAAGTGCCCTAGAATCAGACACAGTTTAGTTTAATGGAACCTTGCTGTGTCCCTTGACAAGAGTTGCCCCTTTGGGACAAGAACCTCCAACGCCGCAGAGCCCAGAATTGCAGGGATGGGGAGGACAGAGTCCCACGGTGGATCTTAGGGAGCGATGGCAAGTAGAGCCACTCCCTCTTCCACTCCTCGGTTCCCAGCGTGTTCACAAAGCCAATGGGGACACGCGTCCTGAAAAACAGTACTCCATCCTTTCAGATGGTCGATGGCACTTCAGCTGTGCCTTGGCTGTTGTAGTCCTCTGTGAGGCTGGCTGCTTCTGGAAATGTGGGGTGTGACACAATCAATGGTTCCATGATCAGGGACCCACTCTGATCACCTGGTTGGATACTGGGGCACAGGATTCCACACCTGTGGATCCCATCTTGTATAAGCTCCTAGATAGCAGTGATGTCTGAGTTCCTGTGAACAGGAAAGGCAAACTCTTACCTGGAATGGTATCTATCACTTCTCTCACTGTTAAGGTGTGACACAGATACTATGCAATCATTTGAACAGGGAAAGTTTAATATAAAGAATTATTAACTCTAACAGGGGATTGGCTAGTAGGAAGTAAAGAGAACTTTAAAGGATACAGGAATAGTAGACAGAAGGAGTAGCTATACAGGGCTGATAGAAAGAGAATTGCCCATCCACGCACCCCTCTGCCCAAGGGCTGAGGGAGGGCATGGCTGTGGTTCACTGGATGGCAGAGAAGTCACTCGTCATCTGTGGTGCTCTGCTGGTGGAATTTGCTAGAAATCTGCCCTCTAGGGTGCCGGGGGCAGCTGCTGCAGCTGCTGGCCAAGGTGCACTGCCGCCTGGGGGTTGCCAGGTGGCGGGCAGTACGGGAGTCAAGAAGCAAAACCCTTTTCCTCCCGCGTCTCTCCATCGCCCTCTACTGACAAAGCTTTGGTGCTAGCTGGCAAAGGAGGAGCTATGTAAAGGGCCTGGATCCATTTTCAAGGAGCAGGGAAGCAATACATCCATAACTGGCTCACGTGTCAACTTGCCGTCCAGCAGCACTTGTTCACCACGAGGAATGTGCCATCTCGGTGCTCAGCGTTGGTCTCTGTGTGGACAGATTGGACATTCAGAGGCAGCACTAACTATATGGGCCTTGGGTAATTGGGGTTACATGCTGGATTTCTGCTTTCCTCCATCCCTGAGCCCATGGTGCCAGTTCTGCGGTGGCTGACGAGGAAGCCCGAGCAACACTGACGGGCTGAGTCTTCTTTTCTGCTTGGTTGTTCTGTGCCTCTTCCATGGTGGATGCCTTCTGGGGAGCATTACTGTGTGAGACATAAATAAACACGTTGTGCCCACTCCTCTGTGTTTATCCATATGTCTCTACCCCAGACCCCCTGGTTTCCAATCTTTCAGTCCTTTTCCTTCCAGGTTCTTGGCCAAAGAACCAGACCTTGGGCCACTGTGCAGGAATCTGTACATTCTCACCTTGGGCTTCCTTTTTTCCAGTGTGGATACCAGCTGCACTGCCTGCAGACCGCCTCTGAGAAAGATTTTTCCCACTCCACTGTCTTACAGGGCCACCCCTGAATGTGGCTATAATGAAGTTCTGACAACAGTGAAGGAGAGAGGGAAGGAAGGAGGCCTGGGTAGGAAGAGTCTCAGACTGCCACACAGTCGGAGGAAGGGTCCACCAGGCTGACCCATCATCTGCCCAAGTTTTGGGGCCAAAGTCACCCATTGGTCTCTCAGGAATGGGTGTGAATTAACAGCTTAGCTGTGCTCAGTCTAGGTGGGAGCAGCCCAAGGGCAAATGCTGTGGTGGATCCACCGGTGCCGCAGCAAGAGCTGTCAGTCAGCTCTGTTCCCCATGGCAGGAGATGTAAACAGTGCATTTTCATGGCTGCCACGGGGCTAGATGCTGTACCTGTGAAAGTTACCATTGGCCACATTTGTTTTGGGTTTTTTTTGAATTTTTGAATTTTATTTTTATTTTTTTATACAGCAGGTTCTTATTAGTCACCAGTTTTATACACATCAGTGTATACATGTCAATCCCAATCGCCCAGTTCATCACACAACCAACCCCACCCCCCCACGGCTTTCCTCCCTTGGTGTCCATACGTTTGTTCTCTACATCTGTGTCTCTATTTCTGCCCTGCAAACCGGTTCATCTGTACCATTTTTCTAGGTTCCACATATATGCGTTAATATGCGATATTTGTTTTTCTCTTTCTGACTTACTTTACTCTGTATGACAGTCTCTAGATTCATCCATGCCCCAACAAATGACCCAATTTTGTTCCTTTTTATGGCTGAGTAATATTCCATTGTATATATATACCACATCTTCTTTATCCATTCATCTGTCAATGGGCATTTAGGTTGCTTCCATGACCTGGCTATTGTAAATAGTGCTGCAATGAACATTGGGGTGCATGTGTCTTTTTGAATTATGGTTTTCTCTGGGTATATGCCCAGTAGTGGGATTGCTGGATCATATGGTAATTCTATTTTTAGTTTTTTAAGGAACCTCCATACTGTTCTCCACAGTGGCTGTATCAATTTACATTCCCACCAACAGTGCAAGAGGGTTCCCTTTTCTCCACACCATCTCCAGCATTTGTTGTTTGTAGATTTTCTGATGATGCCCATTGTAACTGGTGTGAGGTGATACCTCATTGTAGTTTTGATTTGCATTTCTCTAATAATTAGTGATGTTGCGCAGCTTTTCATGTGCTTCTTGGCTATCTGTATGTCTTCTTTGGAGAAACGTCTATTTAGGTCTTCTGCCCATTTTTGGATTGGGTTGTTTGTTTCTTTAATATTGAGCTGCATGAGCTGTTTATATATTTTGGAGATGAATCCTTTGTCTGTTGATTCGTTTGCAAATATTTTCTCCCATTCTGAGGATTGTCTTTTCGTCTTGTTTATGCAGAGCTCTTGGTGAGCTCTCTCTTTCCATGAGTTATAGATTTTAGGGTCTGCTGGAGTCCCAACTGCCTGGGTTCAAATCCCAGCTTCTACCACTTACTTGCTCTTGTGACAGCTTTGAGACAATTGAGGAATTTGAATATGGATTGGGTATTAGTAGGTAATGTCAGAGAATTACTGGTCATTTTGTTAGATGTGCTAATGGCATGGCAGTTACATTTTTCTAAAATACCTTTACCCATTAGGGAAGAAATGTTGGTATTGGGATTTGCCTTAAAATACTCCAGTTTAGAAAAAAATGGTGGTGGTGGGGGGGAAGCAGGTGAAACCACATTGGAAGCGTGGTAATAATTGTTTAAGCAAGGTGGCAGATACATTATATGTTATATGGCTAATCCTACTGTGCTCTCTACCTTTGGATAAGTTTAGAAATTCCCAAAATAAAAAATTATAAAATAAAAATGGCCTAATTAATTACTTGGGTAGAGGGTAACATGGACAAGAGTTAGTTAGTTATAAATAAAGGTTATTTGGGAGAAACAGGAGGGAATTTGCACTGGAC